TAAAGTAGAGGTAATCTTCTTAAGTAAGAAGCATCTATGATAAATGTTTGAATATAAATTCTTCTAATATTATTGTTTATTTTTTAAAGACAGGTGACCAAAATGAAACTAAAACATAACGTTATGCATAATTTTAAAAAAGTGATTTGATGACTAAAACGAAACTATAATAATAGTTGGATGATTAAATACATTGTTTATCCGTTTCTTTTTCTAATAGATACATTCTCATCAATCCTTACAACTTTTCTCTATGGTCATTGGATTTGAAGCCAAATTATTACGATTTTTGGTCAAGGATCGAGTGACCAAACAGTGTATTGAAAATATATATATATATAATAAGCTTGAGGAAAAATTGAGGAAAGAATGTAACCTAATTCCACTAAAATTAGGAAATATATTTATCTTTAAAAATAAAAAACCATCCTAGCAGATAGTGAGGATAAAAATTGAAATCAAGTTATTTGACAAATACTCCATAATATTCATTTAAAATGAGTATTAAACAAAATTTAATAGATGTCAACTAAGAGCTTTTAACCACATGCTTTAGGGATTGTTGACACATTTAAAATGAATGTTGTATCTATTTAATATGATCATTAATCGATATTAACCAAAATTTAAACAATAAAAAAATTTCAATTATTTGATACAATTTATGATCGTCACTGATTATTATAACTAAATTTGCATCCTATGAAACCACCAGACTACCTTTATATAATTTTAGAACTAGTTTATAAATTGTTGATAAATCGAGCAAAGTAAACGAAAGAACACGAGAATTGTAACGAGGTTCGGCAATGTGCTTACGTCCTCGGTGCCTAGGCGGCGCTAGAAATTTTTTATTCAATGATAATAGGTTTAGGTTACGTCCTCCGATCCATCCCTGTCCTCTTTGCCGGTATATTTATGAGCCATACCTTACAAATCTCCACCTTGGCGAATATCCTTCCCCTAAGGAAACATTCAATGTGGGTTGGGTTACCTTACTTCTTTAACAACTTGAAACATTCAACAAGTCCAAGCAATGATTGAACTTTTCTGTTGTAACTGGCTTGGTGAACATATCAGCGGCATTCTCATCAGTGTGTACCTTCTGAAACAAAATCTCTCCAGATGCAACCAACTCTCTGATCTTGTGAAAACGTACATCAATGTGCTTAGTTCTAACACGATATAACTGATTCTTAGCTAACTGAATAGCACTTTGATTGTCGCAGAGCAGCTAAACTCCACCTTGCTGAACACCCAACTCCTTCACTAAACCAGTGAGCCATAAAGCTTCTTTTGCAGCTTCAGCCGCTGCCATGTACTCAGCTTCAGTTGTAGATAGTGCCACAACAGATTAAACAATAGTCTTCCAACAAATAGGTCCTCCACCAAGAGTAAAAACATACCTTGTCGTAGATCTTCTATTATCCAAGTCACCTGCATAGTCTGAATCCACATATCCTACAACCAAAGGATTATCTCGTTGACTACCAAAAACAATTCCATGTCCCACAGTACCCTTTAAGTACCGAAAGATCCACTTGACTGCTTCCCAATGTTGCTTACCAGGTTTAGACATGTACTTACAAACTTGACTAACAGCATGAGCTAAATTAGGACGAGTACATACCATTGCATACATCAAGCAACCAACAGCATTAGAATATGGAACCTTTGCCATATCTTCAGCTTCCTTATCTGTCTTAGGGCACTGTTCTGATGAGAGCTTAAAGTGGTTCGCCAATGGAGTGCTAACTAGTTTTGCGCTGCTCATCGCAAACCTTTCTATCATTTTTTAACATAACCCCGTTGAGATAGCCACAGTTTCCTTGAGTCTCTGTCCCTGCAAATTTTCATTCCAAGAATTTTCTTTGCAGCACCTAAATCTTTCATATCAAATTCCTGACTCAATAAAGTTTTCAAACCGATAACATCATCCATGTTCTTCGCAGCAATCAACATATCATCAACATACAGTAATAGAAAAATAAAAGAACCATCATCAAGGCTCTTAACATAGACACAACAATCATACTCACATCGGTTATAGTCAATCTTGATCATATAGGAGTCAAACCGTTTATACCGCTGTCTCGGAGACTGTTTCAACCCGTACAAAGATTTCTTCAATCTGCAAACTAAATGCTCGTTTCCAGGTTGAGTGAAACCTTCAGGTTGTCACATGTAGATCTGCTCCTCTAAATCACCATGTAAAAAAGCAGTTTTAACATCCATCTGCTCTAAATGCAAATCCCAACTGGCCACCAATGCAAGTACTGCTCGGATTGAAGTGTGCCTGACCACAGGAGAAAATATTTCATCATAATCAACTCCTTTCTGCTGTGAAAAACCCTTTACTACCAAACGAGCCTTGAACTTCTCCCCCTATTTTTCTGTTACTGTTGGTTTCTTCTTATACACCCATTTGCAACCAATCGGTTTTTACCCTCAGGAAGGGGAACCAACTCCCATGTACGATTGTGTTTCAAAGACTCCATCTCCTCAACCATGGCTGACATCCACTTGTCATTTTCCTGACTAGTAACAGCATCATGAAAAGTAACTGGATCATCATTGCTAACAATAAGTGCAAAAGAGACCAAGTCTTCAAAACCCAATCTACTCGAAGGCTTTATATTCGTCCGTCTCACCCTGGCGAGACTATAATCCTATAAATCATCCGTAGTTGAACCACCAGAAGTCGGTTGAGACGTTTTTGGTTTCTCAACTGTAAACTGCTCGAAATCCACCACTGTCGTGTCTTTCTTCTGTTACAACATGGATTGTTCATCAAAAACAACATCTCTACTGATCACAATTTTCTTCGCAACTGGATCCCAGAACTTGAATCCATTGACACCTTTCTTGTAACCCAGAAAAATGCACTCCTTCGATTTTGCATCACGTTTGGATCTCTCATCAGCAGGTACATGCACATAAGCAGGACAACCAAAAATCCGTAAGTTATCAAAACTAACATCATGACCAGTCCATACCTCTTCTACAACTTTCCCAGCCAATGATTCCCTTGGCGATCTATTGATAAGATAACACGCTATGTTAACAGCCTCGGCCCAGAAGTGTTTGGGAAGCCCCGCATTCAACCGCAAACATCTGGCTCTTTCATTCAACGACCTATTCATCCGTTCCGCAACACCATTCTGTTATGGTGTCTTGCGCACTGTAAAATGTCTCTTAATCCCGTGCTACTTACAGAAGTGTAAGAACTGTGAATATATGTACTACGTACCATTTTCAGACCGCAAACACTTGATTTTTCGTCCTGTTTGGTTTTCTACCTCACCTTTCCACAGCTTGAACTTCTCAAAAACATCAGATTTTTGTTTCAAAAAATACACCCAAACTTTCTATGAAAAATCATCAATAAAAGTAACATAATACCTAGATCCACCCAAAGACGATGTCGTGGAAGGCCCCCATACATCAGAATGCACATAATCAAGAATCCCTTGAGTTGTGTGCTTCGTAGTCTTGAAACGGACTTTAGTCTGTTTACCAAGAACACAATACTTGCAAAAATCGAGCTTACAACTTTTGACACCATGCAACAGATTTCTTTTGTGTAATTCTGTCATACCACGTTCACTAAGATGAGCAAGACGCATATGCCACAGTTTTGTAGTATCATCACAGGACTCAACAGAATGAACTCCACCTGCAACGGTACTCCCTAACAATCTATAAATGTTTCCTGCAGTCATCTTTCCTTTCATCACAATCAAAGCACCTTTAACAATCCAAATGGTTTCCCTATCCTCATCAGCCTTAGGGATAAAACCATTCTTGTGCAAAGTGCCCAAAGAAATCAAATTCTTCTTCAAATTTGGGATATGTCGAACACCACTCAACGTCCGAACATAGCCATCATACATCTTAATTCTGACATCACCAATACCAACAATATTGCAACATCGATCATCACCCAAATAAACAGAACCAGAATTAACCGACCTGTATGGCGAAAACCATTCCCTATTTGGCGTGATGTGATAAGAACATCCAGAATCAAGAATCCACGCATCCGTTAATTGAGTCGTTGAAAAAGAAAGCATATCACCCTCACTGCAATCAGAATTGTCATCCTCGACCATGTTCACAGACTTGCATGAAACATCACGCTTCTCATCAGTCTGCTTTTTCAACTTCGGACAGTCTCGCTTCATATGTCCCGCCTCCTTGCACTTGTAACAGTGAATTGTCTTCCTATCCCTAGATTTGGATCTGGAATTCTGCTTGCCAGACCCTGTCTTCTCTGGCTTCCATCCACGGTCTCGATTACCCTTGACATATAAGCTATCGGCTTGAGAGTTTTCCCCTGCATTCTGCTTCCGTTGGTTGTGAGCCAACAAGGCTACAGTAATCTCCTCATCGTTGATAATCTCTTTCCCATATGTAAGCTCAATTTTTACATCAAGCCGACCCAAATCAGAAACGATCAACTATTTGAACCATAACACCACTCTGTTACATGTACAGTTTATTATGTCAATGACGTATTCTTCTCACAATAACAAAAGTATGAATGCAGAAAAATGAAAATGTTCGAGCATACCTGCGATTGCAAAGGCGGCATTTAATTAGCAAATCAACAAAGTAAATAAGTACGGATACATCCTCGTGTGCAGAAGTAATCGATTCAGACTCCCTTGTAGGATGGTGACCACATGAATATGTCATATGGTACCACTATATCTTGTTTGATACAACACAAAAATACATGTATAGATATCAACATAGAAATTCTGAACGTTCGCCAAATCTAAACTGTACTACGCTTCGAACAAAGTCAATGACCTTTACATAATCATCCTGGTTGAAATGGCCAAACCACTTAAGAGTGACTATCATCAAACAAATCGGAAAGGAAAATAAAGTGGAAAGAAGGTGGAGGCCTAAACCAAGTCTCAATCAGAATGCTAGACACCCCAAATCTATAAGCCTGTCGACAGCCTTTACATATGTGCATACACTCGATAGAACATGCAAGAAAGGGAGCAAGAGATCATTCCAATAAAGAATATGATGTATCGATGAAACAAAATTATACTTGTTTCATAGAAGAAAACGTCCGCTGCTTAGTGTGATTCTCTCTCTGAAGCCCAACTCCTTGTATATTTGATCCCTCTCCTATGTAATAAACAAAACCGATTGTTACATGATATCCAACAAACAGCGTAAATAGAAAAATGACAAGAATTCAAAGATTCCATGGATGTCAATGCTAACTGGATTATTTTGATATTCTCATGTGAGTTGGCATGGATGTTAGAGAGCAGTGAGTATGCATCTTTTGGATGTTCAACTTTGTTCACAATTAAAATAAGCTTTACAAGAATAATTCTTCTAAACTATAATTGCTGATAAACATAATTCCCATAGCAATCTAGAAGGGTACATATGAACAACTTATCTTGAATCTATCTTGAAATTTACACGGTAAAGAAGACTTGAGCATTGTTCCAAAGACATTAGAGCCATCTCATCATTCGTGGCACGTGTGATGTAACATGTGGCAAGAACTTGAAGTTGAAGAAATGTGATAAAGAAAATTTAACTTCATGGAAATCATTTAAATGCAAACAAGCCGCCTGTGGAACACCTACTGAATTTTCTCTACTAAATAATTGTACATTTGTAAAGAAAGAAGAAAAGGAGCTCTGCAGGCCTAAGTTCAAAATTTAAACTAATCATCTCTGCGAATCTGACAGCTATATATTCATGAATGGGGCTCAACCTTTTTGGAGAAAGCTGCAAAGGGATTAATATCATCCTCATATATCTTCTTGCACTTGGATTCAACATCTGAGATGAATCCACCTTCAAGATCCTCGGTGTACTAAAAAATACCAAGATCCTTGGTGAGATACAGAGTGGCAACTTGGTTTTCAGCAAAGTTTTAAAATCATTTGATCCCTTTTGATAGTCTAGTGGGTGATCTTACATTAGCGGATTCCTTTCAAGGGTCAAGGAAGCTTAATTTGGTTCGTGAAGGATGGTGTCCTCCTCCGACAGGCTTTCTTAAGGTAAATGTGGATGGGGCTATGGATAGTTCTTGGCAGAAGGACGTCATAGGTGGGTTGCTTCGGGACGAGAAGGGTGTCATGCTGGATTCGTTTTCAGAGAAAGTTGGTTCGGGCCCTCCAATTTTGGCAGAATTGCTGACGATCAAGAGGGGTTTGCAGCTATTTTTGGAATCAGAGTGGGCTTCTAGGGGAAGGCTAATTTTAGAATCTGATTGTCTAGTGGCTCTAGAATGGATTAAAAATCCAGCTTCTTGTACTCCTTTATTTAAAGCTGTGGTGAATGATATTTTGCTAATATAGCGTGTAAGAGGGGTGTGGTCATTAGGCATATTAAGAGAGGTGCCAATTACAAGGCAGATGAGTTCGTCAAGTTGGGTATTGGATAGGATTGACGAGGGGGTAATAAGTACGGGTTGGTAGGTAGTTTGTATTGGGTTTTGTTGTTTGGTGGTTGGAGTATGATTGTAATTGGTTTAATGTATTGATATTGTATCTGTTTTTTTAGCAATAAAATTATTGACACTCTTTTCCTCCATCCAATGTTCGTTGATCTATTTTTGTAGATTGGCGGTTATGATGGGGGTTTTTTAACGAGGCCATCTTTCTATAAAAAAAATACTATAGCCACTTGATGAGAATTATGGTATGTACTAAAAACAACATATACCATCTTTGATCCCCTAGAAATTACTTTCTCCTGGTTATAATCCTGAACAAAGCGAATCTTTCCATGAAGTTTAATATTATCAGCTTTTGTTTTCTCCAGTTCTGTGGTTAGCATCCCTATCTTCCCCTTTAATTGCCTTATTTCCTATAAGATGTGGAACATTAAGAAACGTAATTTTTTTTGTAGAAACCAAAAACATCATATAATAAAATTCCATTGAATAGAAAATGAAAACAAATGCATCTACTTGCATAAAGGTAATCACCATACTTCCTCAGTTTCCCGCAATCGTGCCCTAAACCGATCACGCTGATTGCATATCACCTTCAGCATTGAGCTTTGGTCTTGATCTGAGGAAACTTGTTTGTGATGTGCGCTCTGTTCCAAAATAGGATTTGAATTCAAAAACCATGACTCACTGTGAAAATTGAATTATCACTTACAAAACATATCATGTATTTACGGCCCATAATATCAACAATTAAAATGCAAAACTTAACATCACTAGTCTGAAACATGATTGTTTCAACAACATTACCTCCATGTGTGCCCCTGCAGTTTCAAGAGGTAAATAAGTGCTGCACTCAATGAGTATGTGGGACCTAGGACACTAACTTTTTTCCTAACCTAACATTTAAGTGAAGAAACTAAGCAAGTATTGCTGACAGATACATCACACGCATCTAATTTTTCAGTTAAAAAATTGGAGAATCTGACATCTTGACGAATGATGCTTCATCTCAGTAACTATTCCTTGTTCCCAACACGAATATTATATATATATATGTAAAAGATAAAGACATATGGAACAAGGAAGCAAAGGATTAAGAACTAGTCTGATAAAATTCCGTTAATAACATGCACTCTTGAAGAATCAAGTTAACACTTAATTATAACTCAAGCTGGCAAGAAAAGCTATTTAAGCAATTATGCTTAAACAGCAAATATGACTATAAGTACAATGCACATGTAAAAAATTCAAACAGAAAATGTTTAAGTTAATTCTTATTTTCTTTGATACAGTTAAATTCTCCTTTAGAGGTTATACATTCTGATAATTTATACACGTAGAGTAACAAATAACAACAAATATACCTCGGAAATTTCATTCCCTCCACTCTCAGAAAGATCCCAATCATCAAAAAGAGTCCCATTCCTTTCTTTGGAACTATAACCCTGCATTAAAGAAAGAAAGATTGTGATGAAAATGAATGGCTGCAGCATGCGGAACTCGCTAATCTAAGAATTGTTATGTCAAGTCCAACATCATTAAATGGAAGGAGCAACATAGATAAACTGATAGTTTCGATCTTTCAGCATAAGATAATTCACATATATGCTGAGCAAGTTAGTCATCTAAGAAAAATGCTCTAAGAAAGAATGAAGCTGGTTGAAACTGCAATTTTCAGAATCTCAGAAGAAACTAGTTCAAACCTTCAATATATCATCTTCTAATTTCTATATCAGCTTCTGTTGTTCATGAACCTTTTCCGTGAGTTATACTATTTTGCCTTCAGCTGTTTCCAGCCAAGATGTTTTCTCGGAAAGTTTGACCTGAAAACCAGTAAAAGATACATGAACACAGCTAGTACACGGTAATTAAAACACATCAAAAGCATTAAAACCTATCTAACATCCAAAATTTTCTGCAAGTATGAATAAAGTATGATAACTGTAGTTATCCACAAGATATTATGTATAGTTTCATCTAGACAAGATCTAATTACTATTCATAATTAGTATTGTTGGAGAAAATTGGGAAAGAGAAAAACAAGGAAGAAAAGCACCAAAAAACAGTTCATACCTTCAGCTGTGTGAGTTCATGTTCCATTTTCCTATTTTTATCGAGAAGAAGAGACTCCATTTTACTCATCTCTTCTCCAATGGTAGCTGCTTCCCAATCTTCAGCCTCAATTGACTTATAACCCACTTCCTATACATTCAACAATGAGGGAGAGATTCAGAAGCTATCAAGCGTGAAGAAACAAGAAAATACTAACATAAAGTCAGTCACAGAATAGCAACGTTGTAAACCAGGGAGCAACAAAGACATAATATTATTTTTTCCATTTGTGGACACTAATTTTCGTCCTATTATATATATATTATTATTTTATTATACATATATTTATATTATATATATATATTTTTTACAGACCCAGAAGCCCAACGTTTACGAACTCAAAAGCCCATATATAACAATAAGCAGCCAAGAACCCTTCTAGATCGGATTGAGGAACCGACCCGAGACCCAGGTCCACCGAAGTCTGACCTGAACCGAACTATTAGGGTTTCCAAAACCCTAACTTTCCACTTTGTTCCCTCAGCATCGTTCCAGCCGCATCCATCCAAAGACTCCTCGCCCCAGTAACAACTCATGATCGATTTTCTCGACATCGTGATTTCATGGAACACCAAAAATAACCAAGTCAAACACAAATCAGTTTTTGAGTCAAGATAGGAGTCTAAATCCACCCAAAAATAGGGGGTACCTTAGGTTATGAATTGATGTAAATCGAAACGAAAAAACACAGAAGAAACCACACGAAAAATCACAAAAGAAAATAGGCAAGCAGTTGTAATTTTCGAAAGGAAGAGCAATAAAAGAAGGTACTTTTTTACCTTGATCGGCTGCCATCTTTGTTTGTATGTGGTCTTTATGTTTTTTCCTTTCTGGTTCGAACGACCGATGAACATGGGGGGAGAGACCGAGATATTTTTTCTCAGATCTAGCCCTCCCTGGGGCTATTTGTTCAAAACCATTTCGATTTTTTAGACGAGGGCAATGGAAGCTTTAAAAAAATGCAAAAATAATTTTGGCCACCACCGATGAACAGCGACCGGCGAGGAGGTGGTCGACCGGTTTCTGGGTTGAATGGTGGTGTTCTTCATCAGATGAAGAACACCCAAGAGCAAAAGAGAGGATTTGTTGGGCTCGTTTGATCCGTTTTTCCTAGGGGAAAATGAACTTTGTTTCCAAAATTGGCATATATAGTAACCCGCTGGGCGACCCGCGTGTGACCTGATCCAAGGATTAGGATCCGCGCGATTTCGTTAAAAAGGGGTAATTATATTTTTGGTCCCCCGTCCTTTTTAAATGTTCATTTTACCCCCTTTAATTCAATTCTAGCCCCAGTTTCCTTTGAAATTCACCACCTACTTTTGTTTTCTTGCAATTTAGCCCTTTATTATTCTATTCCCCACGTTTTAACTAATTCCTTTTTATTTATTTATTTATTTATGTCATCCAATGTTTACTTTTATATATATATATATATTATTGTTTTTTATTGTTTTTTCTTCTTTTCTTTGTTTCTATTTTTCATTATTTATTTATTTTTCTAACATTTATATATATATATATATATATATATATATATATATATATATATATATTATTTTTAGTTTTTTATTATATATATTGTATTTTTTATTTTATTCTTCTTTTATTATTATTATTATTATTTATCTTTTTATCTTTTTATTTTTTGTTTTTGTTTTTATTTTTATTTTTATTTTCTTATTTTATTCCTATCTTATTTTACTTTTTTTTTACTTATCTTATTTATTTTGTTTTTTTATTTCACTTTATTTTACGTTATATATTTTATTATTTCTTTTTTTTGGAAATTAGCATTTTTTTGTTATTTAGCTATTTTATAATTTATATTTAAGCTTGCAATTAGCATCACTTTTTAATAAGACTTTGTTCTTTGAATTTTTTTCGTGTTGTGTGGTTCAATATGAGCATTTTATTTTATTTATTGTATTCCCCAACATGTATATTTGTCTCTTTAAGTAATATAAGTTAACTTTTATCTTTCTTTTGGATTCAGCATATTACTTTACAAATCTAACATTTTAACCTTTTAAGGGTATTCGTCTAAAGTGATCGAAGGTAAGTAATTTGGACAAATTTTACCTTTTAATTTTTTAACTTGCAATTTTCTTAATTAAAGACAACTGAAAATTAATTAGTACCGAAAGGGCAGTTCAAGGGTGCTAATCCTTCATTGATTATTCTTAAAATAAATGATCGGAGGCGACTCTAACCATTTTATTCAAGTCGAAGCCTAATTTCGGGCCCACTAGAAAGACGACTGCGACAGGTTGCCGACTCCACTGGGGACAGGTAAGTGAGTTAGGCTAAAGATTAATTTCCAGTTGTCTTTTTAAGTGAAAATGGTAAGTTTAAATTTTAAGGTAACTTTTTCGATCCTTATTACTTACTTTTGATTATTTTTTCAAATAAATAGTTGTACTGTCGATTTCTTTCAATGATTTCAACCTTTTAAATATTTTTCATTTAAGGCTCTATACTCGAGCTCTGAACCCTTTTAAGTGGAGGTGAAAGCGACGCCTTCGAGAGAATTTATTCTCCGCATAGGCCTAGCAAGTAGCCTTCGGGATTCATATACCTTATGTCTTCGTGTCTTCGTGTGAATTTATTCACCGCACAGACATAAGGGAATGCATCTTCTCGAGTTTAACTTAGTCCACACAAGCTTGTAATGGCCTTAGGACTAATGGTTTGACAAGCCTAAGGGGGCACCAGCAAAAAGAACTCAGGTACTATTTTTAGAACCTAAACCGGGAGACTATAGGGAATTAGAGCATACCCAGAAACCTCATTTCAAAACCTAGGATGTTTTTACTCATGCAGTTTTGTCACTTTTATTTTTACTTTCATCATTTATATTTTTATATTACTAAATTTTTGCTTTCATGTTTGTCTTTTTAGCATTTGCATCATAAAAAGAGGCTATTGATCCATAAAAAGGTGTTAGTTACACAAATAATCTACATTAATGGACAAAGGGGTTGTAATGCTAGAGATAAAAAACGCCGAGGTACGACTATGGTCCGAAAAGACTCAGAAAGAGAAGAGAGACAGTCTACAAGGAAGCTATATGCCAGAACTGATTAGCTATACTTCTGTTAGCCTAAACTAGAATGATGTTCAAGAGCTACGAAGCATTTGGGATAGTTGGAAGAGTGATCGGAAGCAGAAGTTAAGGCAACAGTATGGTGATATCACTCTCCTTTTCTATGTCAGGACAGATGAGCCCCTAATTAGAGCCTTGGTACAATTCTAGAACCCGGGATACAACTGTTTCACCTTTAACCAGGAGGACATGGTGCCCACAATTGAAGAGTATATTACACTGCTACACTGCGAAGGCATCAGACTGGAGCAGGTCTACATCAAACACATCAAAAAGTCAACCTTTCAAAATGGACTGGCAAAAGTTACATGGGTAGATGAAAAATGGGTAAGTGACTGGGCTCGACACAAAGGCAGCGAGGAAGGAATTGGTTGGATCCACATCAAGCAATTGATGAAGAACCATCCAGATGAATAAAAGGCAATAAATATTTTTGCACTGAGTCTTTATGGTTTGGTCATATTCCTAAGAACTTTGGGGTACATTGATGCAGCTGTGGTGGAACTGTTTGAATAACTCCCAAGGCGAGTAAATCCAGCACCGAAAATTTTAGCTGAGACCTTTTGCTCTCTCAACCACTGCATAAATACTGGTAGAGGAAGATTCATAGGGTGTGCTTAGATTATCCAAGTTTGGATTCACAGTCATTTCTGGAAAACTAACAGGATTACTTACCGTCGATTCAGCACCACTTATTCACCTTTGGGAGAATTCATTACTCTAAAATGACATGAAGGTGCATCCAAAGAAAAGTGGATGAAAGTATTCATACATCTTCAGCACAGAGATATTGCTTGAAGAGCTCTTTGGTTGACCTACAGTGACATTCTCTTCCGATATGGGGATTCAGGCACTGTGACTTTACTTGGATTATGGGGAGGAGTTGGTTATTCTCCACTTTTGGCACTTCGATATTTTGGAGCACGCCATTTTATCCTGGTAAAAAATGGGATATCTGGGTCAGAATTTGCATAACATGGAGACAACTACAAGAAAATGGTCAATGAATTAGCTGAGTCCTGGAAAAAAGTGTTCTGAATGGAGGCCGTGGCTGCAAAACACATGCTTACTCCGGATTATTTAGAATGGTGGAGGCTAAGGAAAAATGACAACATCCATGTGCCAGATCATGAGGACACCCGGACTATGAAAAACATTTTAACCATGTTCCTTCTGAATTGGAGATAGCAAAGGAAGAATTTGAAGTTGTGAAGAACAAATTGAAACAGAGGGTAAGGGAGCTTGAGGCTGAAAGATATCAGTGGAAACTAGATGTCAATACTTAGAAGGATCGGGTAGACAAGTCAGAGAAGGAACAAAAGAAAGTCTATTTTGAGATTGAAGACTTGAGGAAAGGGTACCAAGAACAAGTTCAAAGCAACTCCAATATGAAAAGGACTTCTGAGTATTGGAAAGGCGAAGCTAACAGTCTGAAGAGGAAGTTTGAGGGACATAATGAAAGAGATACTCTGAAAGAATAGCTAAAGACTGCTCAAAGGCATTTAATAGACAGTCAGCACCACAACAAACATTTGAGAATCTAGGTAGCTGATTTAGAGAAGTCTTTTCAGAAACAGTAAGAACGGGATGGCAAAATCATAGCTAAGTTAGAAGCCATTTTGGACTGATTCAAGAAACAAGCAAGTGAGCTTCAGATAGTGCACTTTGATGGAGATTTACAGTGGCATTTTCGTCAGGAACAAGCTCAGCAAATGGTGAAGGCTAGAGATGCAGTCATATGTGATTTCTTGGAGCAAGTACAGAAGACAGCTCGTCATTTGCATGGTTTAGCAAGAGAAGCCAGAGTGGTTTGACAAGACATTCAACCAGTGACATATGAAGGAAGAAGACTTGTCAACCTATTAGAAGTTGTTCGGGGTCTAGAGGATTTAGTCTAAATGTACCTCTGATATATTTTTGTCTCTTAAAAGATAAACACTTTTGTTTAAATAAGGATTATTTATAATAACAGACATATT